ATAATTGGTGACTTTAGAGATGGATATTGAAGTATATTGAAATGCCTGCATGGCATAGTATTTCTACCTGCTGTGCTTCTCTTCCCCTCTTTTTGTGTCCTGATCTTCATTCCTTTTGATCTTAAGTTGTAATTCTTGGGCAGACAAAATGCCTTTTGATTTGTTTCTGTTGTGGGTATGTTTCTGACAGCTCAAAATGTCAGTAATCATTTCAGTAGTGATTTGGGATAAAGGGAAGGCAGGAGAATCTCTTGAAGCAGAACTACTTGAAGAATTACAATGTTGATACCCAGAGTTTTGTTTTCTATACAGTGAGTGGACAGTTATTTTTAGCTCTTGAATTTTAGTATGTTCCTGCAGGAAATGTTTGGGCGCTTGGATTGTCACTACTGTTTGAGCATCAGTAAGTTGGAGAACAGTAGGAGGAGGAGATGTTGAATAACAGACATATTCTAACAGTCTATTCTAGCGTAAAACATCTTTGTCTTGCTGCTGTAACCATATGATTATTGGAATTTTATTAGGGTAATTTTTTCACTTAAGACTCTTACTTCTTTTTCTTCTTCTCATTTATTTACTGCACAAAAAGACCTGGCAGGTTGCTCTGAAATTCTAAGAGATTTTATCTAAAGAGACTTTAAGAGACTTTAAAAGAATTTTAATGCTTTCTAAGTCTCTTAGCAACTTTGTACCTCTGTTGTGGTTTAATCACAGCCAGCAGCCAAACCCTACACAGCCACTCGTTCACCTGCCTATCAGTGGGATCTGGAAGAGAATCACAAGGACAAAAGCTGGAAAACTCATGGGTTGAGTGACATACAGACAGTTTAACAGGGAAAACAAAAGCAAAAAGAAAAAGCAAAACAAGGTATCAATTTGCTGCTTCCTAAGGGCAGGCAGGTGTTCAACCATGTCCAGGCAAGCTGGTGATTGTGCTACCTTTTTTGACCATTTCAAATTTCTTAGAAACATCCATTTACTCTTGAAGCTAGCTATTCCATTGAATAGTCTTTTGTGTTGTGCGTTGTTCAATACAATCAAGGGAATTTTCTTGATACCTGTCATGTAGGCTACTAACAAAATACTGGTATGTTTTTAATCTTCTTTATTCTGGATTTCCTCTTTTTCGGGTGTGTTCTTTAATTCATGCAGTGCCTGGATGATGCTCTTGGTCACATGGTTTAGTTTTAGGTAGTCCTGCAAGAAGCAGCGAGTTGAATGTGAGATGATCCTTATAAGTCCCTTTCAGCTTGAGGTTATCTACGATTCTATGACACTAGGACTGGAATAAAATTTCTATAATCAGTATTTTCACATATTTGGATGTTCATATAGGTGGTACATAAAACGTAATTGCTTCATCAGTTTTCTAGACAACTGCAGGAACTGTTTTCTATAACAACAATGGAGTCTTAAAAATAGAAATTGCATGCAGCACTACTGGTGTGTAACCAAACCTTGTAACACTTCGGAAAAACTGTGACATTAAATGATGTGGTAACCCGATTTCATGGTTAACCTTAGCATGTAGTTCAGTGTACTTCTACATACTCTTGTACCCTGTAATTGTCTATGGACTGTTTGCAGAAATAAAGGTATCCTGGTGATGGAGCAGAAACAGTGCTTGGAATAATGTCTCAGTCTTTCTCAGACACATTCATGCCAAAGTGCTTTATCTCTTTGTTTTCAGAGTTGCAATAGTTTCCAAGTCTTTTGAAGGAAAAACTGATCGAACAGAGGAGTGGTATGGAACACAGTACAAACAAGAAGCAATTTCTGATGAAGTTATTAAGGCATGTTAAAATTTTTAACGTTCTAACATCTGCAAATAAAGTCAGTGATAAATTCTTAGTCTAATTTCCATATAGTTGAAGGGGGAACTTAAATCCACTGCTCTTCATAGCATGAAAATTTTGCAATGAGTCTGTTTAATGTTGAAGGAAGTAAGAATGTTATATTAGTCTTTAGATTTCAAATATTAATTCTATAGGCTGGATATATTTTAATGGTTATAAACCTTGTTGAGACTACAGGGAATGTTACACTGTTTTTTCTGTAGAAGATCCCTAATATGCAGTGGCTATGTAAAAATGTAAGCATTAACTTTTGAAAACTTAAAACTCTCTATTACATGTTAATTAACTGATCAGTACTTAAAGAAGGAATTTTTAAAAACTCTCATACGTAATTGTTTCTGAAGTTGATTTTTGCAACATAGAAAGCAAATATGTTTTGCCAGTTAAATGAGATTGTGAAAACCAAAACTCAAAAAAATAAGTGGGAAAATCCTGTTGAAATTTGTTATTGTTCTAATCTTCTAAGAAGAGATGGCTGTGAAATTTACCTTAGGGCTGAATTTGACCTTCTGAGTGCGCTCAGAACAGACATTGCATAGGAACACTTCCTTTAGCTCAATTGACCATATCTATGTTCTTGATTAAAATTCTTGGTTAAGTGTTTAGTTTAATATCTTCATTTGCAGTTCATGGTAGCAGAAAATATAAGATTTAAACTCACCTTCCTCTCTACTGTAAACTTTTCAAAATTTTTTATCTGTCCTTCTAAGAGCAATTCATCCTGCTGATAGCCTACTCCAACTTGTTTTCCCATCTATTTCTCTCTTGCCCTGTTACCTTAATAATATTTATACATAATGTAGTGGAATGCATTTTAAAATCTTTTGTTTCAGGGTAAAATAAATTAGCCCATATATGCTTTAATTAAGCAGAAATTTTCATAGCTTCATTGTTTCTTCTCTTGGCCTAGAAATGGCAAAATGCTGACCTGAATGGGAAATTCAAGCTTCCGATGAAGAACGAGTTTATTCCTACAAACTTTGAGATTTTACCATTGGAAAAAGATGCAACACAGTACCCTGCCCTAATCAAGGTAAACTGTCAGTATTTGTCCTGTTTGCTGCCTAACCTTCTGGGAAATTAGAATTCAATTCCTCTGTTTTTAAAAATACAGGTCATCTCATATTCCAAAGTACATAACTTCAGTATTTTGCTGCAAAGGCAGTAGAAAGTTCATTCTTGCTGAACTTTGGATTACGACAATTTGTCTTCCTAGGAAAATGAATCTAGGTACAGCTTGAACTCTTTTTGCCCTTTTGAAAGTGTGTCAGCAATTGATAAAAATAGCAACAGAGCTGTTTTCAGCTGAAGGGTGACTGCCACTCATGTTTTTTTGACCACTGTTGAGTAAGTCGAGGGTGTAGGCAGGGCTATTGTTTTGTAACTGTGTATAGAAAACACCTGTGATTGCATGGAAAAAGTGAGAGAAGTGTCATTTAGTGATCTCAGAATATAGAGAATGTATACTTAATATATTGAATATATCTATATTTAGTATATATGCTGAATATAGCAGTTCAAGCAATATGAATTTAAGGGGATAATTCTAAGCAGTGATTTGAAGTGTGAAAAGACTTTTTTTAAAGTAGTGGCGTATATTGCACTTAAAAGTCACATAACAAAACATCTTCTCTTGACACAGGACACTGCTATGAGCAAACTATGGTTCAAGCAAGATGACAAATTTTTTTTGCCAAAAGCCTGTCTCAACTTTGAATTTTTCAGGTATGCAATGTTAAATATATCACATAAAGTTGTCTCCAAAAGTTGCTTGTTTATTGGGAATCTGCATTTGTGTGGCAAACACTTTTTTGCATGTATTGGCACTTTAGAATCTTTGTCTTTACTTTGAATATGTAATAAGGCTTATGTGCAGGAAGGCCCAGTAAAAAATCTGCAGTAACTGAGTAGCAAGAAATTCAATGTGTTCTTTCTATATTAAAAGGAAAATTTTACTTAAAAATACTCTAAAAAATTTCCTTTTATATTTTGTTTGCTATACCTGGATTACACCTGCCAGTAGAACCCACTACATATTTGCAATATCCCTCTTTAAAAATAATTGTGTACTTTAAAGTTAATTACTAAATCACTCTTTTAAGATGTGTTTTCTTTATGAAATGCTATTCTGATAATAGTTTTAGGCTCAAATTCTATTTTGTTTGCATAATGCAAATCAGTTTAAAAAGTGCTTAAAATTTTGGAGTTTTACTTAACTGACACCCATAACTGATTGTACCTTTTTTTTAGAAGAGCATTGTCTAGATTATCAATGCATGTTTGATTCTGACCTCAAGATGTATGATAAAATGATGTAATGTTAATTTTGGTCTTGCATGACTTTCATCATAGGAAGATAATCTTTCTTTTTTAAGTGAGCATGACAATGATGGACCTTCTTAATGTTTATTTTAAGTAATAAATTTCTAACTTTTGAATTAAAAAAACACTGCTATTTTTAAAGTGCAGCTGTTTCTGTGCTGAATTACTGAAAGCTAGAAAACATTCAGGGACTCTCCTTTTACCTAATTAAGTTACTTGGTAATACTATTGTAAGGGCCATTGTGGTGGCTCTTGTAGATGCACTGTTGAATTCTTGTTTTGAGAGACCACTTGAAATTTTTCTTGCAGGATATTATACAGCAGTTTTTTTTCAGTATGTATGTCTTGCTACTGGTTTTGATACTAGTTGGGGAAAATACGTTGCCTGGGCATTTTCTCTTTTTGCTTTTTGAAACCACAGGCTAGATGTTACAATTGTTTCAACTTTGATGTGTCAGGAAATGGAGGATCAAAATGGGAACTCCCTATCTCTTATTCAGAGAACAACAATTGCAGTGCTTTCCCTTCTTTTTCATTCTTGGTGGCTTTTCCTTGTACTATGTTTGGCCAAAATCCAAAATAGGATTTCACTGATGGACACTGAGTTCACAGTTGTGGTGGTTTTTAAAATCAATTCAGGTGAACTATAAGTGGTTCAGTCTCTAACAGTTCATGAGTGAATAAAAAATAATAATTGGGTTTATGTAGATGGACCTGGTTTAGGGCAAATTTTGGGAGGAAACTTCTGAAGTGGTCTCTCCAGAAGCAAATTCAATCAGCCTTTCCCCCCACCAGTTTGGGAGACATAAATTTCCTTTGAGAAAAGTGGAAAAAACTGTTTATTTGACAAGCAGAGTACTCACAAACATGAAAAAATGAATAATATTAAATAACGAAACGTCTCGTTGTTCTGGAGAGATGGCAAATCCAGAAAGTCCTCTTGCAGTCAGAGTCCTTTTCATGGGTGTGTCCTGGGCTTTCTGTCAGTCTCTCCAGGGCTCTGGTCCGGTGTCCCGGCCGCAGTGTGGCTTGGAGGCCCCCAGACAATAGTCCTGGTGTTCCTGGACTGAACAATAGCTGAGCAGTTCCAAAAACCTTCTGGCCTCAGTTAACTGGAAAAAAAACTAACTAAAAGAGAAGGAGAGCTCTCTGTCACTGTCAGTGCTGCAGACAGTCTGTGAGAAGGAATGGCAGGCAGCAAGTGCAGTTTCTACAGACAAACTGCATGCTGCTTCTTCCCCCGCTTCACTCTCAGAACCAGTCTTTAAGGTGCAGAACTTAATATCCAGCATAAGCAGAACAGGCAACTGGGGATGCAGGCATCATAAAGTCACCTTAGGACAGAAGAGCACACAAAGGTGTAAGTGTATGCAATACACACAATATCAGAATCACTTGTGCTGGAAGCGACCTTTAAAGGTCTAGTCCAGCCCTCCTGCCGAAGCAGGGATATCTTATCTAGGTCTGTGGAGATGGCATTTCTCACTTAGATTTGTGTTTTCATCTCAGAGAGCCCTTATAAAAAGACAGAAGTACTTGAGCTTTGCTGACCACTGTAATGGAATGATTTGCCTCTTTCCTCCTAGGAACAGTTCCATGTGAGAGCTGGCTTTTTTCTTAGGGTTGGGAGCAAGGTTTTCCTTTTACTTAAAAATGAGATGGTAATTGTATGTGAGCAGGAGCAAGGAGATTTTGACAATATTGGGTGCATCACCTTTAAAAGATGTTGTAAGCAGGTTTGTCTAGTTTTGATACTTATAAGGTTCTTGGAGAATTTGTCTCTATTTGATCATGCTGATCGTCATTGGAGGAAATCTTGAAATATAGTGTTTATTCATGAGACTTGATAGAATCATTCATATCTCATGGGACCTAGTGAATTGGTGAATAAAGCCATCTTTATGACGGGGGTGTTCATAAAAAGTCTGAGCCTTTCTGAGCTCTAGATCAGAGTATGAAGCCTGCACTGCCTTGTAGGGGATTAGAAGTTTGTTCACATGACAGACTGCTTCAGTGTGATTAAAAAAACTAGGAGGATTTCTTCTGCCTGCAGCTCTTATCAACATGAAGCATAGAAAGAATTCTGGTCCAGATTCTAATCTGCAATTGGTGTGTAGATAAATTAAGAGGAAGTTGATGAGATCTTCCTTAAATATGCAAATCACACAGGAACAATATGTGTATAAATCTCTTGAAATCACCTTGTTCCAAAACTGAAAATCCTTACAGGCATCCTTGTGTTAAAGAAACATTACAGTAAAAATATCTGATTCATTGCCCAGCCTAAAAGAGGATGATAAGCTTTTGCATTTGTATAAATTGTGACTTAAGAGTTCAAAAAATATCCTTTTTTAAAAGGAAGTAAAACAACCATGTAGTGTGGTGATGCTTTGAAATTCTTTAAAGGTAGTTAGCAGCTCAAGACTTCAGTGTCAATTCCAGCTATGTCACAGATGTTTGAAAGGGGGAAAAAATACATTACAGTTTTTTTAAAATGCACCATTTGTGAATAAGTTGTTCTGCTTCTTTGAGTCTAGTCAAAAAAAAAAAAAAGGTAAACTAGAAATAAGCATTTGTTTACAAAATTGTCAATGAGAGGAAGCAACTCCCAGAACACTTTTGTAATAGTTCTGTTACTTTACACGTAAGGATTAATGATCTAGTAGTTGTGATTTTTTTGGAAACTCCCAGTTGGCCTTTTCCAGCTGAGTGAGAGTACAGAATTTAAAACTGATACAGACATAGTAATCACTCAAACTGATTAAGTCTGTATTCTAGTGTCAAAGTGGGAAAGAATATAATGAGTCTGGAGAAAGGTTTATAGGATTGACCTACATCTGGCTTTGAATTTGGTCTTAATTAAAAAATTCAATAGTAATTGGATTTATATCATTTGGCATGTTGAAATAGCTCAGTTTAGGGTAATTCTCATTGCAGGGAGAAATGCAAATACCATTTCTTTTGTCTTTTTTACTGACCTGTTTGTTTAATCAGGGCCAAGATTTCAGACTGTAGCAGGCTCTGCTTCTCAAACATATATGTATTTGAAATTATTAATTTAGTTTATTAAAACATCTTTCTGCGTATCCTTTTCTTAATCTAAAAGGAAGGAGAAGTTAAAAGCTACAAGGAACCTTCTTAAAAATATCTTTGCAATTTGTTTCAGTTATCAGTTTGCATGTTGTGGTCATGTTTTACTACATTAATGTTGATACACAGTGAAATACCCTGCAGTGTAGGTGTAAACATATGTAATAGCCTGAACATCTGACTGCTTCAGGAAAAAGTCAGGTTTGAATTGTAAGCCAGATCCTGACAGCAAATGCTTCAGATACTGCTGATCATTTCTGCGTAATTGGTAATGAATTTACATGCGCTTCAGAGTTTTTAGTAATACATACAGTACAAATAACTTGCCTTTTGAAATCTTTAAAGCAGAAAGGTATTTAACAATTAGCATGGTTGAAACATGGCTTGAGTCTTTGAGTTGCATTTCTCTTTTTGAAAAATTTGCAACGGTGTTGTGTGTGAACATGTGCTCCTAATGCAACAGTAGGTTTTGGAGAGTTGTTGCCTTTACAAAAATAACTGGATAAAATAACACAAAAAATTACAGCAGTAAGAAAATTGATATGCCAGACTTCTCTTCTGACCTGACCGTGGCATGTGCTGCATCTTGTCATACCACAAATTGTTGATCTCCTAAGTTTTGTAATAGAAACTGGTAAAGTATGAGTATTAATTAATTTAATGTTCAGTACATGGACTTCATTTTGGTCTATTAATTTATGTTGATATATATAGTTTCTTTTGCTCCTGGTGAATTCTGACTATGCAGCCAAGTAAATAAAGCATGTCTTGATTTATGAGCACAAATAGAATATCTCTGGGGTCTTGAGTATATTTAGTCATTATGCCATATGCAAGCTAAGTAACTCTTTTCAGATGTGTTCATATTTGACTTTGAAATAGGAGTCCTTCAGAATGGGATCCATCAGCATAAAAACACAGAAAATACTGTTTCCTTCAGATCAAACTTGAAAGGCCAAAAGAAACAGAGAAACAATTTTAAACTGCATATTTTACTTTCAACATTTTCTTCCAGCCCATTTGCTTACGTGGATCCCTTGCATTGTAACATGGCCTATTTGTACCTTGAACTACTCAAAGACTCCCTCAACGAGTATGCATATGCAGCAGAACTAGCTGGCTTGAACTATGATCTCCAAAATACCATCTATGGGATGTATGTAAGTACCCAAATCAAGCAAAAGCTTAGAGCCTTAAAACTACTTCCACTCATCAACATTTTTATATTGATTTGCTGGAAGGACTTTTAAATCAAAAATAAAGGCTGTTAGTCCTTTTGATCTTGGTTATTAGCCATCCTTTCTTTGATTTGAACTTTAAGTTGAATTTTGTTAAAAGTCTTCAACAGTCTTCTAGTTCACATCAAGCAAATTTTCTTCTTTATTTTTGTATCATTCATGAAATTAATTAGTTTGTAAGATTTTTTTCCTCCATTAAAAAACCACAACCCTAATCCAAGCTTACATATTTATTGGTCAGATACCTACTAAAAGCTTTCTGACTGATGGGGTAAAAGATCCCCTTTTCATGCTATTAAATAAATAGTATACTTCTGCTTTCCTGTTCAAGAACTACTGATCATGAGGCTGCATATACATACTCTTCAGTCATGTTTCTTCATCCATTACCTTGTCACTGCCTGAGGTATCAAAGCATTTCTTTTGTTTTTCTTTTTGTTAGTCGCTACATTTATGCTGATCCTCTCCATTGCAACATGACATACCTGTTTATCAGGTTATTGAAGGATGATTTAAAAGAGTATACATATGCAGCACGCCTCTCAGGTTTGGTCTATGGCATTGCATCAGGAATGAATGCAATACTTGTAAGTAAGAAAAGAACACAGGAGGAAATGAAACAGCTTGGGAGTTGTTGAGCTTGGAGAAAACATTTGACTTCTGCATTTCTAAATGAGATGGTTAATGTTTTTTTCCTTTGCATATATCTCATGAATTAAAGGCAATGCAAGACTGTATTTTAATCAGTACTGAGTGACCTGTTTAAGAGTGCAGTGTCTTGTGAACTTGTGTGTAGTGCAATTGTTGCATTCTGGTTCACATTTTTACTTGCTTGCATGATAATCTGGAAAGTACTATTGCTGGTTTCTGTATAAAAAGATTAACTTTTCTGTTGAATGAATCCCCAACTTTACAGATTTTGTTATAATTCTCTAATTCTGCTGTCGTGAGCTGTGGAGATGGATTGTGCATGTGTTCGTTAGAATGCAATGCTGGATATTTATGGCTTTTTCTTTTGTTTTTATCACATGTTTTGTAATCTGCTACAGAGGGCTGACAATACTTGATAAATACTGGTATTATGATAAATGCTTATTTCTCATTCAGCTTCTATGAGATTTATGACAGGAGATTTTAGTAGTCTCTCTTGAAGTTTGGTTAAAAGCTTTTGTTAACCACCCTTATACGAGAGCATGTTTTGAAATTTCCTCTAGAAGTGCTATTTTCCAAAGCATTTTAGTAGAAGAATGTACTGTATATTGTCTTTACATTTTCTATATGAGAGAGTGCTGCATTTTTTTTTTTCAATCCAACACAAATCTAATTTCCTGGTTGCATTCACGTGACTTACTGTGTAAACACCCTTATCCTCAGTTTCAAAACTTGCTGATGTTTCTATGATCAGGGTTAATTCCTTTTTAAAAAAAAAATTGTGTTATTTTCTTCATTTTTAGTCACCATTATTTTAAATATTATTTGAGAACTTGTAATATTACTTTCCATATTGTGAGAAGTTTTATAATTAATAAGTGTGACTTACTAATGACTATATTGGTGCTTTGAGCAAGGGCAGATGCTACTCTGAGAAGTCATCCTTGGTGGTTGTTAAACACTTTGGGTTCCTATGCTAATTTAGGATACCAGCCTTTGTCATAAATCCATTTATGATAACTTTTTCGTCAAATTCATTGTTCAGCTATGTTTCAGCAACTACAAAACAAAAAAATTCTTCCTACTGAAAAGCAGGAATTCTGTATGTTGGTTTGTGTTCTAAAGTTTAGTTTTACTCCTAATTAAACTGCACAAATCCAATCAAATTCCTGGTTCAAGATACCAAATTTTGAAGTTTTTCCCTGAAAAAAAAACCACTTTTTAATGCCGTTCTTTGCCAGAGAAATTTTTTGTAGCTTGATGAAATCATACAGTAATTTCTAAGTTTTATGTTATTTTTTAAATGAGCATTTCATTTATACTCTCAAAAATATGTATGATCTGATCAAGATATC